CTGAGGCACAGTTTTTCTGAAATTAGCACTTAGATCCTCAGCTTGGGAGGAAGTTCCCTGGGTGCCTCTGTCTAGCTGGTTGTGGGTCTGCATGGGATGACTGTGTCAAAGGATATAGATGTTAAGAAAACACTGCTGTAAACTTCCCTGTCCCTTTGCTCTTGACTTGTGGGTAATCCATGGGCAGGAGTCTCTGTGGAGCTGAGAATTAACTGGAAAGTAGGAGGCTGCTCCTGAGATTCCAAAATGTAGGAAAGATGGGAAAAGAGTGTTGTAGGTGGCCGAGTAGCCTGGCATAGAATCATGTAATGCTTCGGTGATCAGGTACTGGAAAATAGTTACAGGAACTAGAAGTGTATAAATCACAAAGAATGTTGGGGCAGGAGAATAAGCATCATTTTAGAACGTCAAAACGTGGCATCTCTAAAAGGCCGAATGCCATAGGCACCAATCACATTAAAATGCCTTACTGTATCCATTAGGATTGACATTTTATGCTAATAGCTATGCTGAGTGAGTTGAGCTGTGATTAGCTAGTGCTGTTCTTACAGATGAGTTCCTAGGACCAATGCCAGGCAAGGAGGGTTTAGAATCAGTGTGAGGTGAGGTTAACAAAATCTGCCGAATTGTCACAACAGCTGAGCATATGACCATTTCCCCAGCAATTTAGATTCATTTTAATTGCAAAAATTATTGGTTAACAATATAATTACAAATCAACGGGTCCAAAACTACATCAGGAATATTCATTTTCATGACCCAGTACATTTTGATACAATGAAATTTTGCTTTAAAGGTTGAAAAGTCCTGTTCTGGTTAAGTAATAATTTTTAAATTAATTTCACAAGAGGACTCGGTGAACTCGAAGACAGAGTAATAGAAATGATGTAGTTTGAACTGCAGATAGAGAGAGGTAAACTGTCTTGTACTTTTCTATGTAGTATTCCATCTCTATCACAGCAAGTTTCACCTGCACGTTCTTAGTTGGGGATAACTGATAACAATATAGAAACCTCTCAAACTGATCCAAATAAAAAGTGTGTGTGTGTGTGTGTGTGTGTGTGTGTGTGTGTGTGTACAAGTGTGTATGTGTGAGTGTGTGTTTGGGGGGAACTAGATGATTACAGAAGTATCTCTGATAACTGGGGTCAAAAAGTACAACCAGACCTCTTGAGGTGTGGTGCAGGAAACAAACACGGACTAGCTGCCTTCCTTCTCCCTCTCTCCTCTGAGGTGGACATGCCGAGCTGCCAAGATGCGCATTCAGGAATATAGGATTTACTTGTCCAGCTTCAAGGAGTGCGGTGAGAAGATGGGCCCTGCTGCTTGGTGTCTTTGCAGGTGGCTTTGGCTAAGCAACAGTCTTACCTGAGCCCCTGTTCCCTTCCAGGAATGGCTGCCTTCCATGTCTAAGATTATGCTCTAGCTTGGGACCACTGAGGAGAGACACCCCAGTCCCAGAGTTCAAGATGGAGCCATCAAAGGCTTTTACTGGCACCCTGTCCCTCTGCCTAAGCCGGCTTCCATTCCCTCCTTCCCAGATGTTGACTTCATGAATCCACCCTAGCAAATGCTCTCACAACAGTCTTGGTTGTCAGGGAGTCTACTCCGGCACACCACGCCTCCTCGTCTCTGTTACTGTCCCTCCCTGCCTGACTCTCTTTCCTTTGTCATCTCTCCCTTCTGCCCTCCGTGCTCTCCCTATTCTCACCCTTTCCTTTCCCCTTCCCCCTTGCTCTGCTCTTTCCAACACACCTAGTTCTCTTCTTACTCTTTAGGCCAGCATCATGATGCATAGGCTCACTGCTCACTGCTCAGGAATGGTGGCTTTAGCTCCTTGGCTCATGTGGTATAGACTCTTGGTACCCCACCCAGATTCACATTCCCAGTCCACATACTCACTCCACAGATATTGGAGTCAATGATCAATGATAGCCCATGGGTACCATTCTCTAGAGGACTGTCCTTAGTTGGCCAAAACCTCTTCTAAAGTTGACTGAGAAGTGATACCATGCACCCTTATATAAGTGGTACAGTTCATGTTCTTGAGTCCCCGTTGGGATGAGGCTGATGCCAGGCAACTATCTTTGCCCAACATCTTCCCCTGCTCTATATCGCTCCTCTCACCCATGCCCCCACTCCCCATCAAAGCACTCTGCTTCTAAAAACCGTAATTTAAAACTATCATCTTGCATATCTGGTACCTGTGCTAAAAGTCCTAGCCTCTGTTGTCCTGGTCCAAATGTCCAAGAGAGATAATTGACTAGGCCTCATTCCTGGACAGGGAGTGTACCCAGGTCCTGTCATCTGTGGCCAGAGAGGGTTGTATAGGTTGTATAGGATATTGTAGGTGAAGGGCATCTAAAAGGCTGGCCAATGTTTATGAAAGCCGGCCCTACCTCAGGAGAGTCTTAAATTTCTTTTCTCTATCCCCCACTCTTTTCTTGCCCTGTCAACAGTCCCATATTCAGGTTGAAGAGTGGAGTTTTGAAATATAACACCATGTGACAGAAAGTAAATAGGCCTGTATGGCAGTCTGAATTCAACCAACTCACCTCCCAGCTCCATGTTTCAGGCTTGAAGGTGAATTACTAACACTGCACAGTCAGGAGACTGTGGATAAATAGTCTGCATCCCTGAACAATGCTCGGAACAAGGTAAGAGCACCAAAACGGTATTGATAAAAGTGCCTGTCCTTTAAAGGGTAGAGTGTGATCGGAAAGTGTGCAACGTGCTGGGAGTGGAGCCTGCCAGGTAACTATGTGCAGAGCGTGTTTACACAGGCCGTTGTGCTCCAAGGGTTTTATGTACCTTCTCATGAATGCAGTTGTACAACAAATCACCCCAAGCATATCCATTTCAAACAATCACTTTATTATGCTCATAGAGTCTGGGTCACGGATTTGGACAGGGTTATTGTGGATAGCTTGCTGCTTTCTAATGGCTGCCCTTCTGCTGGGAAGGTCTGATGTCCGGTAGTAACTTGACAGCAGGATCTGGAGTTGTAGGCTTCCCAGGACTGGTAGCTGATGATGGCTGTTAACCAAAGCACCAGGAGGTGATTGCTCCATGTGCTTTGGTTTTCATCACAGAACAATGGCCTCTGGTTAGTGAGGCTTCTTATGTAGTTATTCTGGGCTCTGCAGGCAAGTGTCCCAATTTGCAAGGCAAGAAAGAGTTCATGGTGTTTATGACCTAACATGGAAGCCAAACGGTATCATTTTTGTCATAGTCAACGAATTACAAGCAAGTCACCAATCATTCAGACAAAGGACAGGTGAGTTAGATGCGACCTCTTAATGAATTTGGGGCAGGGTCTCACAGAGCATGGGGGGTGTGGGGTGTGGTAGGGGCTGTATTTGGTAAATACCATCTGCTATTCATATGTCTTCTCATTTAACTCTCCTCTTTGGAAGTAGGTATTATTGTCCGTCTTTACAAATGAAGAAGTGGGCTCAGGTGGGTTAATTACCTTGCCTGTTGCAAAGCTTATGCATGGCGGACCTGGAGTTCTACCCAGACTGTACAGAGTAGGCATCCTCCAGCAGTGTGTGATGTTACTTATCAGAGCAGAGGAAGAGGTGTTCCAAGGCCAGTTCTCCTAGGTGCAGGATCAGGAGTACTTAAGCTTTTTTCTCACCTCTAACCCTGAGGCCAGACCTATTACTTTTTCTATATGGGTAGTAAAATCTGGTCCTTGTGCACAATGATCCAGGGTGTTGCTTCTTTGGAGACTGTGTCATTATTATGGGGACCCCTGATGCCTCAGTCTACCACACTTACACTGGGCCTGGGGAGCGGCTGTCTGTCCACCTCCACCCAGTGGGGGAACATCAGCAAACGCAAAAGTCCTCCATAAAGGCAGCCCACACAACCAGTTTGTGCCAGCCGTGTCTTCTCCCATACAACCTCCTTTTGAAATTGTGTCTTCCCATTCGTCAAACAAAGAGCATGGCTTCCCCAAAGTCACATTTACTATTCCTGTGACACTCCAAATCTAGACTGTCCCGATGATTCTCCTCACTCATTGCTTACTCTGTAGATATCTGGGTACTTTTAGCCCATTTCCATCCTTTTTCTAAGACTACAGAGGGCGAGCATCTCACCCTACTCCTACATTAATTCCCCACAACCACATACATTCTCAACAAGTGCTCAGGAAGTACTAGGTGGGTCAGAGGGGCTCGTGAAGGTTAATGTAAGAGAAGAAGACACACATGTTTTCAAAAGCACTTTTGTCTGGTGCTGGGGATTGAACCCAGGGCTTGACACATGCCACACATGTACTTTTCCATGAAACTGTATCCCCAGCCTTTAAAAAAAAAACATTTTTTGAGTGCCTACGGTGTACATAACAGACAGTGTGCAAGGTACTAATGATTCAAGTGATCTGGAAGCTGGAATCTAGAAAAACAAACCATGAGCCTTGTAGGCACTGTGTGGCAGGTCAGTTACAGCAAATCCAGTGTCTAGAAGCAAAAGAGTCCTTCATCAGAGAGAGAAGCCTCTAGAGCCAGTGTGTGGGAGGCAACTGTTGTACATAAAGTTACAATCTACCAGCTGTCAGGTGGCTCTAGAGTTAGGTATTTAGAAAGTCCTGGATCTGGGGCTATTCAATCCCAAATCTTAAATTACTTCTATAAAATGGCCGAGTGGTATTTTTTAGCCGAGTCTATCAGATGGGACAGAATGGCCCTTCCTCTTCATTATAGATTAGTCTTAACATAATAGGTAAGTTCTCTCCTTCTCATTTAAATGTGCCACCCTTTTATCTCAAGTGTCCCTAACAGTAACGACTCTGAGTGTTCAAAATCCACTAATAGAACCCAGATAAACATGTTTACAAATTGTGGGAAATCTTTTCTTTTTTTTTTTTTTTACTTTACTCAATATGCAATCCATAAATCCTTGATCCAAATATAATCCTGTTATATAAAACTATTTCCTCAACATACAACCAACAAGAATCAAACAGCTCTTGTAAATAATTACCTTTGGGATATGAAAGAAAATGTAAACATTTTATTTGGCAGTTGTTTCTGAACATGTGAATAAATAAATGGAAAAGTACATATGAATATTTCTTTTTCGGAGTAACAGATACCATTAAACGCTTATGTACACATCTTCACTGCAAAGAACAGTTACGTAATGAAACTTTGTCTTATAAAAGGTTACTTCCCACACCACTGGCTTGGACAGTTAAGGATGGTGATACTGGTAGTGTTGGCTTCAGCAGTCTCGATGTTGAAAGGCATTCATCTGCAAGTGTGATAAGAAGAGTCATCATGCATTGAGTTCATCCAGGTCACAGACTGTAGAAAGTTTCCGATGGCAGCCATGGAATTTGGTGTCTCATGCGCTTAAGTCAACTATAACATGTTTGTATATCTGCGTGTTTCCCTTAAAACTGGAAGCGAAAAGGAAATTACGCTTATTAATGGACACGTGTGTGAACGATCTGGGTGCTTGAACATTTAATTCCTGAAATTTCACAAATTTGGCTTTCTCTGCGTCCCAGTTATACACTTGAGTGAAGGAGTAGTCACTTCCGAGAATTGCATATTGGTAATTATTTATCTGAAGGGGCTGGAACACCATGGATCCCCGTGATGGCATCCTCTGAATGTCCTGGAAGGAAGAGCCGCCCCACTTCATGACTTTGGAGTCGCCAATGAATCTGGTCAAGCAAATGTACACATCGCCTTTTACGGAGAAGTGCTTCACAGCATACACATCCTCCATGTTGGGAATGTCAGTTTGGTTGGTAAATAGCTGGGTTGCTTTGCTCCACTGGTAGATCACAGGGCGCTGGGAACTACTGGACAGGATCAAATGAGGTGTTCTGAGGGTCAGTGGTGTTCTGGCTATTTCTAGGTACTCCACATCCGTATCCCTGTACCAGGCGTGTAAGGATTGGTGGGAGTAGAATCCATTTCCATTCCACTTGTAAATGGTAGTAAACCCAGCTTTGGAACTATCAGCAACGACAAAGTACCAGTTGTTTTCAATCTTGAATGTTTCGATGTCATTGGGTTTTCGGATTTTGAGAACTTCAATATCCTGGATTTTTATGAATTTGTTTGCAAAGCCATCTCGCTTATAGATATGAGAGCCACCAAACAGCTGGGCCACAATGACATAGAGCTGAGTGTCAATGACTATAGGCTTGCACACCACAGTGGACGTGCCTGAGGGAAGACAAATGAGATATTAGGTGTGTGGCCATTCTCTTTGGAACATGTAAACACGCAGGTTAGATAACTTCCACGGAAATCAGTTTAAAGGAGAGACTTCCTTGGTCTACTAGGCAGCACCAATCCCCAAGGCCAAATGGCAATGTTTTCAGGTTCTGGGCCTTTACATCCATGGGGCCTCGTTATAAACAATGAAGCTGTCCTATCACATCCAACCTGCTGCAGGCCTTGAGGACATAGAGATACCACTTAAGCTCATTCCTGTCACTCCTTGCTTCAAGTATTGTTTTTCCTGACATCCTTATTTAATTTCCCTAATTGTAATTAAAGATGACCATTTCTGAACATTTACTGTATGCTTTATCAAATCATTAAATTACTACAACAATCTTGAGATAAACGTTATCTTCCCCTTTCTTATCTTTGTTTTTGTGTATCTGTTCTGTTTTTTGTTTGTTTGGTTGATTATGTGTGTGTGTGTGTGTGTGAGAGAGAGAGAGAGAGAGAGAGAGAGAGAGAGAGAGAGAGAGAGAGAGAGAGAGAGAGAGAGAGAGAGAGAGTTTTGCTGTTTTGTGTCCAGGCTGGCCTCAAACTGAAACTCAGAATCTCCTACTTCTGCCTCCCAAATTCTAACACTAAACGTTTTGTACCACCATGCCTGTTCATCTTCTTTCTCTAGACAAGCAAACTGTTCTAGACTCAGAGAGGCTAACTTCTGATACCAAAAGACAGAGCTGGGATGCAAATATGGGTCTATCCGAGTCTTGCGGCTAAGTATTTATTTAGACAAGGTCCCACTATGTAGCCCTGGTTGTCCTGGGAGTATTTACTGTGTAGACGAGGTTGACCTGGAACTTTAGGACTCTGGCTGTAGGAGAAAATAAGACAGATGAACCCTTGTGAAAAGTCAAAGAGGGGCGGACACTGCTGACGCTCTTAAAGTTCTTTAATGGAAACCTCACAGGAAAATAACAGTCTGTCAGTGGCTATGAGGTGTCTGTTAGCAACATTTATAAGTACAGCCTTAACTCCTAGAAAGAGTTCAGACTTGGAGACCCAAACACCTACAGAGAAAATGTACCCCAGACTTTTCTGACTACAGCACTAAGGTATTGAGGGAAGGAGTCCCTCTAATAATTGAAAAAAAAATTGAAGCAACTGTATGCTTGAGCATGCGCACACATGCGCGTGTGTGTGAGCGTGCGTGTGTGCATGCGTGTGTTTGTGTATGTGATGCACTCTCATTTTAGGTGCCCATATAAACTGATTGAGTAATTGTGACTGTTTGACAAGCTGTGTTGAGAAGAATAACATCACATATGGGCAGTGATGTCTGTCCAAGTTGGAGAGACTAGCAATCATAATGATATATTACTTATGATCTATATAGCTTGAATATGTGCAAATCTCCAAATCCTTGTGGAAATGTAACCCTCTGTGCAACACTCAAAAGAGCTGAGATCTCTAGGAGGTGACTAAATCACAGCAATGAAACTCTCATAAAAGGGCTTGTGTCATTTTAATGTTTTTTTTTTTTTTTTTTATCTTTTGCTCTGTGCATCCATAGAAAAGGGGCTGTCTTTGAAGTAGAAAGTAAGTTCTTACAAGACGTTGAATCTGTTGGACTTCCCAGCTCCCAAATCTCTAAAAAATACATTTCTGTTGTTTATAAATTCTGCAGCCTAAGGTATTTCATTACAGTAGCAGGAACAAACTAAACTATCACCTAAAACAAAACCTATGAGCAGGTGATTCATTCCTTTCAAGTTCTAGTCTACAGTGTCATCCAGAGGAAGCTGAGCACCATGGCATGTGTATGTAATCCTACCACTTGGGCTGAGGCAGGAGAATTGTTGGTTCAAGGCCAGCCTTGATGCCACAGAAGACCCTGAAACAAACAGTGGCCAATGGAGTGTGCATTCATCAGAAGGCCCCAGCCTAGAGAGCAAAGAGCCCAGCTGCTCACATCGGAAAGCCCAGGAAGAGAGAGAACCATGACCTTTCTTGGAGAAAAAGGGGGTTCTAGAAGATTCTCAGTTTTGGTATTTTATTTCACCCAGAGTAACCTCAGTATCAAGCAAGGACTATTTGGACATTTGATGATGAATGGTCTTGGAGGCCACTGGCAAAATCTAATAATTATGACTCTTTGTACCTTTTCTAGTGGTAAGCCTTCTGCCCTGCTTTGCTGGAGATAGAATCTCACTCTATATCCCAAGCTGACCTTAAATTCATAAACCCTCTGCTTCAGCCTCCCCAGTACCAGGATTACAATGTGTGTGACGCCCTTTCCAGCTAGTGATGGCAAAAGTGTGCCATCCTGCCAGCTAATGCTCAAGATACTAGAAAATAACAGCTTTCAGAACTGTTTTGATTGGCATCTTACAACTTTAAAAGCTGTTGAAATGGGAACAAAAGTTAAGAGAATCTCTCAAGTAACAGTTTTCATGGATAAAAATGGATTTTATGACCAAATTAAGAAAAACATTAACAATAGGTTTCCACACTGCAGGATTTCTCATAATCTCTAATATGTTTATTATGAACCTTCAAGAGGCAGATGTAGCTTGTAGATTTATTGGACCACAAAATCCTTTTTGTTTCAAGGAATGCATTAACGTGTTATTAAAAATGTGCAGCAGAGTTTGAGAGTTGATCTACAATAGCCTTCTTATTTAATTCACTTACTTTGAATTCAAGCAGATTTAATTATGATAACCATATTTTTGTGCTGTGTGTATTCATCCATGTGTTTGTGCTGATCACAGTTGTGGCCATACAAACTCCTTCTTAGAGATAGAAACAGGAAACTTCATTTCCACTTTTCTTTTTAAAAAAGTTCTCTCTCCACCCTACCGTGTGCGTGCATGCGTGCGTCGTGCATGCATGCGTGTGTGTGTGCGCGTGTGTGTGGACGCACATATATGTATTGGGGATGCACTCACCTATGTGTGGAGGTCAGAGGTTAATGTTTGGTGTCCTCCTCAATTGCTTCTTCACTCTTTTGAGACAGAGTCCCTCACTGAACCTGAAGAGCACTGATTTGGCCAGACTGGCTACTAGCTAGTGAGCCCCCAAGCTGCACCTGTCTGAGCTCTCCAGTACTGAAGTTCCAGACAGATGCCTGCCACTATGTCAGGCTTTTTGCAAGGGTGCTAGGGATCCAAACTCAGTTCTGCATGCCTATGCAGCCAGCACAGCACCCAGAGAGCCTTCTTCCCAGTCATACACCCTCTGTTTGTGAGGTTGTGTGTGTGTGTTTTGGGACAGAGTCTTACTATGTAGCCGGGCTCAGTCTCCTGATCTTCCTACCTCAGCTTCCAAGTTCTGGGAAGAGCACCACCAAGCCCAATTTATTTTATCTTCTTATTTTCAAGTTAGGAACAATGAGATTACAGTGAAGGTGATGGGCTTGCCTAGCTAAATAGTAGCAGAACCTAGATTAGGACTCATCAACGTGATTCATTGCTTTTACTCTGAAGAAAACGAATTCCCCTTTTAGAGTATATTTAGTATGCTCAGTGCTATGCTAAATTTCTTAAATACATGATCACATTCCCTTACTAACAGCCCTGTGAATCAGATACTATTCTTGTTTAAGTAAAAGAATTAAGGATTAAGAATTAAGTTTAGCAGGCAATCTCAAATCATTTAGTAAAAAGTTGGGGTTAACACCACTAAGACTAATCAAAGCATTTCTTATAAACGTTTCCATTCCTGTTGCCCTTGGTCAAAGCAGTTTAACGTTCTACTCAATATTGCTAGGCTCTTCATACCTGTAATGTTGTCATAATTCCGGAAGGTCTTCTCTACATGGTCCCATTCCAGGAAAATACATTTTCCAGTAAAAGGCTGAGCAATGACCACATATTCATCATTCATATAAGAAAAGGTATCTATGGACAGTGACTGATAAGGCAGGTCTTGGGATTTTGCAAATTCTGCAAAAATAGGAAAGGAGGATGTGAGCTAATGTTAATGCCTCGCTCCTTGGCTAGATCTCAAACACTCACAAGAAATGTATTTATTTCAGAGAAACAGTAAAATGGCAACTCTACTGTTTTTAAAGCATGTAAAGTTTTAAAGGTCCATAACGCTTCACACACTACATTTCTCAGATGGTTCTTAACATATTAAAAATCAATTTTTACACTTGCCAAAACGTAGCCTTTTAAAAATAATTATTTGCTGTAAAATGGGTTCTAATACATTACCTGTAATGATACAATCAAAGTCCTTGGGGGAGAGGCTATTGATTTTGCGCTTCTTATATTCCGGCGGGCCTTCACAGTAGATGTCTTCCACAGTTGCATTGGTGTGGCCAAGCCATTCCACCAGCCACTTCAACTTACAGTCACAATTAAATGAGTTCCCTCTCAGGTCCCTGAAACAGAAACCTCTGCTGCATTGGCAGTACATGGGTCCTGTCATGACCCAAGCATGACTTCCACTTCAGCATTAACCTGTCCATGCTCTATCATCTATGTTGAACTTGACTGACTGTCCATTCAGTTTGGGCTCTGAGAGTGATCACAGAGCACCCTTAAAGGCTCCCCCAGAGTCTTCTAGCCTATTCTTGTTTGGATTCAGTGGTGTCTTAGACTAGAAGGGTGGACTCAATGGAAATAATGTTTGAGTCATTGTGTAATGTGTAAGTTGCATTTCTTTTCTATAGGGATCCTAAAGAAATGTAAAGAGAAATAATGTTTTGTTTTCTCCAACACATTAAAATTTTCATCTGGGTGTGTAATCAATATTAAAACTATAGGCATAACAAATTGATTAATCAATACTCTATTTCCTCATTTTTGGGGGTGGTATTATCTTTGAAGTTCTTTGTATAGTGTATCCTTATATCTCAGTTTAGATGCTAAATTCTCACCAGAAATACATAGTCTATATTTAGATTTCATATAGCTTATAGTTCAAAAATAGATTCACATGTATAAGTTGTTCCAAATGTGATTATTTTCTAATATACTAAAATGAGAACAAAAATTCAATTTAAATCTTAAAAAAAAATTAGGGGTCCTGAGTGTAGCTGTGGATGCTTAGCTTAATAAAAGGCCAGGGCTTGATCCTGAGGACCAAAATAAATAAATAGACAAATAAATGTAAAATTTTAAATTTGGTGCCTCGTTTGTACTAGCAGTACACACTAGGGACCCTGTGGCTATGAGCATCCAGTGGCTACGTTATTGGGTCTGCAAAATAGAGTGTGGTATGATATTTAATTAAATCCAGCGAACCACTGGCTTTTCTTCTTCATAGACGTAACTAATCTTGACCCAATTCTGTGGGTCTACAAACTCCACTTTAATAAGAAATGACTTTGCCATAGTAGTGTTAATGCAGACATAATATCTACAACAGCCCGTGCCTGTAATAAACTATATGGCAGAGTTCAAACAAGTTTAAATTTCCACACATGGCCCTGACTCACCAAGCTCTCTATTTACTCTGCAAAGGTCTTCCATGTCTTTTCTGGACACACAGAATTCATGAGATACCTGCTGCCCATTCTTCGCACAGCACAAAAATAATTTTAAGTACATGAGAATTTAAATATTTGGTAAAGTACATGTTCACTTAAAAAAAAAAATCAATAACAAATCCACTAAAAGACAAGTTAGCATGAGTCCTTTTTAAGATAATCCTTGATTTGGGATAAACTCATTCTGAGATTCCTTGGGAGACTGAGCCAGATTTAAGTGTTGAACTAACCCAGCATGAGATAGAGGCCCCAGGATGAACTAACTACACCCCAAGGAAACCATGGGGCATCATCTGACTTCCAAAGCATTACTAGAAGTGACCTGATTGATCCCCAGAGTATCAGCCCTTCTGGGCTATTGTAAATCAGAGCAGATAAGAGATTTGTGGGGCTCTCAAGGAAGGTTCTTGATTCAGGCACTTGCTTGGAAATAAATCAGTTTTCAGTAATTGGAAAAGTGGGTGTGATAGAGGAGTTGGGGACAACTGCAAAGAACAAAGAGAGGAGTTTTTGGTTGTTAATTAGAGAAAGCTGTTTTGGAGATATCAATATAGATAAATAAATATTCTCTCTGTGTGTGTTATTACTTTTACTTTCTCTGCTGGTTCCATCAAAACCTGAACAAGTAATTTAAGTTTCACAATACATTTATATTTAATTTTCTTTGTATATATTCAATAGCAAAGTAAGTAAGTGATAGTAAAAAAAAAAAAGTTTGAATACATCTTTCCATTTGTTCCTGTTATCCCACCTTATGACGTTTAAATACCCTGCTAAAGTTCTGGGAGAGATTTAAGAAGACTAAATTGCTTTGGGGAGGGTTGAGCATATAGAATTTGCTTTGCTTACCACAAAAATACACAAATTCCTTGCGAAGATCTTTCACTCCGAAGCTTAAAAGTCAAAGTTTGAAAGCTCTTTTGTTTGAAAGGGGGTCAAAAATAATTAAGTTCATTCCCTTCCCGGGGCTTAAGCCAAATTCCTGGGGATTAAGCCTAGAGTTGTTGTTCAGGCTAATGAGAGAAAAGGCAAACTTCTCCCTTCCCCCACTTCCTGCCCCGTTTCTGTCGCCTGACCAACCCATGGGTGTAACCTTTCATCTTATTCTGTCAGTTTCCCAGACTCCTTCATGTTTCTCTTTGTAGCCCTACTTCCTGGACCTCGTGAGAAAAAAGAGATCTTGAATTTTTGTGGAGGTCTCTCTTTTCCTGGTTCCCCCACTGACCCTGAAGGGCAGGCACACATTTTGTCAAAGTAATGCCTGGGTACTGTATATTCAGAATTCCCCATGCTAAATCACAAAGAATTCATTTAATCTGTGTCGATTCAAGAGTGAAGACAATTAAAACATTCTAATTTTAAAGCCAATTAAAAATACTAATCATCAATATCAGGTCTCACGAATCATTTCACATTAGTCAGTGATTTCTCAGGTCCTCTTACACATTCGTTAAAGAATCCAGGCCTTTGAAAATATCTTTTGGGAGTGTCTGCAGATTGTTGTTTGCAAGACTCCTGGAAAGAAAGAAAGGGAAAAAAAAGTGGTACAAAGTGTAGTGAAAAATTAAATAAACACTATTTATCATAAAGTTTATTTATAAGTTCTTTTAAAAAATCATTTTCAATGTATTAAAATATAATTTAGTATATGAAGTACTTTTGTTTTCCCAAGATACTGCTCAAATTTCTGTTGTTGAATTTTCAATTTTTGACCTCTTTGTTTCAACATCCACTTACCACTGAGGTAACACTTAATACGTCTTGATACTGACTTGAGGCAACAGCAATAATAAACCATCAACAGAATGATGCTTGGGCATCCCTCTTTGAATTCATAACCGGAGGCTCACACTCTCACAGGTCCAGCCTGGAGGATGCTTCCCAACTGATGGCCAATGGCCAACCAACCACACTAACGGTAATTTTCACTCCCAAATGCCCTCCAGCTTTTGGCTGGTACTTTGACTTCCTCCCCCACCTCCCCTTGCTTCAGAGAGCAGCAAAACTTCCAATTTCTTTGTCTTCATGTCCTTTTTTCTTTCTGAAGGGCATTCCCTTGTCTCTGGCTTTTGCTTTTTCATTTCAATCTTTCCATCTTGGCAAAAAAAAAAAAAAAAAAAAAAAGATAAAAAATAAAAACTTTCTCACTAATGTCGCTTCATCCATCCTCTTTAATTATTCCCATCTTCTGATTCTTACCCTGTTACCACAGAATTATTTTCTTCCTTTCCTAGTTTCTGTTCCACACATGACTAGAATGGTTAACAAGCAGGAAATAGCTCTGATGGTAACAAGGTATGAGAAATGTATACACATAACAGAAAAAATGGACATGATCAAGCCCTGGAAAGGATACCAGGTACTGATACTTTTGGGGTTTTGCCAGCACCTTTTATAGATTTCTCACAATAACATTTAAAAAAAAAAAAACTGGAGCAGAAGCAGAAGAGCTTCTGTTGGTCTCAAAGACCTTTAAAAATTCTCTTGCTATCCTTTTAAAACATTCATCAGGGTCTTTTCTGTCTTTTACCTCCTCCACTTAGATATGAAATTCTCCACATCCAAGGATTCATGGGTTTTAGAACTTAAACTTAATTATGCTGTTTTGTTGGTTTTAGAACTTATTACTACATGCTGAAACTGTTTTCAATGAACCATGGAATGTAAGAATGGAAAAAGAGTCAGAAAGTTCACACCTCCTTGACAGTGGGTTTGGTACCGAAGGTACCGTGGTTTTGCAGTCAGTCTGAGCTGGGTAGAAACCTTCCACCGTGTTGCATCTGGATGACTTGGGTTCTGCATCTTTAACAGTCATGCTACACAGGTGCAGAACATTTGCAGTGAACGTGTTAGAGGTTTGGTCCCCAGACTCTGTCCTGCTATTGGGAAATGGTTGACAGTTAAAAGAAGTGAGATCTAGTGGGAGATCATTTGGGATGTGTCCTTGAAAGGTGATTGCGACTCTGGTCCCTTCCTATGCTGGTTAAGTTTTGTCAACTTGATACAAGGTAGAGTCATTAGAGAGGAGTGGACTCAACTGAGAAAATGCCTCCATCAGATCGGCCCGTAGGCAGGCCTGTGGGACGTTTTCTTGATGGATGATTGCCATGAAAGTGTCCAGCCCACTATGAACAGTGCCGTCCCTGGGCAGGTGGTCCTGGGATATGTAAGAAAGCAGGCTGAGAAAGCTGTAGAGGAATAAGCCAATAAGCAGCATGGGTAGCTTCTTCTTCAAGTTCCTGCCTTTGCTTCTTCCTTCTGTGACTGGGATATGTACGCCAAATAAACTCAGTCCTCCCCAAGTTGCTCTTGGCAGTGGTGTTTATCACAGCAATAGAAAAGTAATTTATATACTTCCTAATTCTCTCTGTTTTGTGGCTATTATGACTTTAATCCCTCCATACATTCCCACCATGGTGTGCTGCCATAGGAACAAACCATCAGGAGCCTGGAATCTCTACAAGTGGAAGCAATGTGAGCCCTCTTATAAGTTGATTATGACAGGTGCTTGTTACAGTAGCGGGGGAAAAAAATACAACTCAACTTTGTAATTTTCATTTTAAAATGAAAAATAACTATCTCATCTCAAAGTTTGTTAGAAAAAGAAAGTGAAAATAAAGAAAGAAAATGAGATATCCTAGGATAATATTTGCTAATGGGATTGCTCTAAAGAAAACAAAACAAATAAAACCAGGGCTGGGCTGGGCAGGCAGAGGATAAAGTCTCCTGTATGTGCATTGTCCAGGAAGCAGTATTCAGAAAATGAACTACATCTAGCAAGGTAATGGATGATGTGAAGGATCACTCACAGAATTGGATGAGAAATGGACCAAGAGGCGATAGGGCAGAGACATGAAGAAGTCATTTCTGTGCCCTCAGCCCTGGACTGGATTCCAGACAGCTTTTCTGGGTCACTGGGAAGTTCTGGTACCATTAGGTCGCATTTAGATGAACAGAATGCAGGTGGGGGAGGTGTGAGAAGAGGTCAACCAAGAAGTCAAAGCTGGCAAAGAGTAACTCTATGGAAAATTGAATGGCTCCTCAGAAAGCATCCTTCTAGTGCAGGCTGAGCAGGTGTAGAAAAATACTGCACAGGCACAGGAGGGGATCAGCAAAACTGTACGCAAATGTGAGGGGAGTTAGAATTAGGGCCATGGGCCAGTTAAGGGTGTTTAACAAGTCTTGAATGAGGAAAAACTGGAAATACTAGCATCCTGTTGCATATACAGGGTAAGTTCTTTCATCTGCCACTGTCTGCAGCTGTGAAGAATTGGGAGCAAGCAGCATCTGTTAATAAGCGAATATGAAAATAATCCATGCTCACATTTAACATGGGATATTTCAGAGATTTACAAAAGGGGGGCATATTTTGATGCACTATTAAATGCCCAAGTGAAAATAAACTCAGAGAACAGTACGTAGAGTGTAGTCTCCAGGCAGGGAGGATATAGGTCTATAGATATACAAAGATCTATGGGAATATACACACAGTTGACGGAGGCTATCCCCTTGAGGCACTGCAGTGAGTGCTGTGTGTTAAAGCCAGCAGTGAAGAGGGTCTGGGGCCTCCAGAATCCATCGCAGGCACCCGAGGGCCACAAAGGAGAGATGGTTAGGGCACCGGGCCAGGGCTACCAAGGGAAAAAGGCTCTTTACTCAACATTTGATTTTTACAAAAAGAGTAAAGAGATGAGATCTGGGATCTATTAGAGATGCGGAGCCTGAGACACCACTGTTTGCTTTACTTTAAGATTAGGGTTCCATCAGGGTTATTGGGATTACGGCACCCTTCAGGTTGTGCCTCAGCATCAAGTTTTCCAATCTGCATTACATTTTCTCAGCCCTCCCCCTCCACATCCCTGCGCACTAGCTTCACAGAGAAACAGTTTCATATTATTCTCTTCCTCAGTAGAAGCTCTTGTTGAAATGCCTGATGTAGCTCCTACCCCCATATCCCTTTCAACCCCGTCATGGTCTGGAACATGCCCCTGTCAACTTGTCTTCTTTGGGTGTCTGTTATCACAGCTTGGAGAAACTGAGCAAAGAGTGGGTTTCATTCACTGTGACAATTAACAAACCCAGCTACTAATGGCTTTGTACCTACTCCTTTGCAATGGATTCTAGGGAAACAGCTGTGCCTGTGGATGAAGTTTTAAGGCTTATGTGTGTCAAGACTCCAAAATGAATCTTCTTCTTATCCTGAAAACTAATGAGGCTTAATAGTTCCACTTTAAAAGATGAATTATCTATTTGTGTGTGTTTTGTTTGCATGCATGCCTGTGTATGTATCTCTCGCTGTGTGTATGCCTGCCCATATGTGTGTGTGTCTCTGTGTGTGTACCCGTGCGTCTCTGAGTATGCGTATATGTATGTATATGTGCCTCTGTGCGTGCGTCTGTATGTGTCTCTGTGTAAGTTTATATGTGTGTGTCTGTGTTTATGCCTATGTTTGTGTCTGTGTATGTTCTCTGAGGTCAGAGGAGTGTGTCAGATCCCCTTTGACCTAGAGTTATTGGTGGTTGTAAGCTAGTTACCAAACATGAATTCTGGGAACTGAATTCCAGTTTTCTGAAAGAGAAACAAATGCTCCTAACTGCTCAGCCATCTCAATTTAGGACAATGAAACCATCTTTTTCTCTTTCTTAGGAAGAAAACTCTATGGCATAGTAGCCCTAAGGATCTATCTTTTGCTTTGATTGACACACATACTAATACATATACCCATATACTAATTATTTCACCACACTAAGGCATTTTTGAAAATACAAAAATTATTTTTAAGACAATGAAGGAGAAAAATAATCATCATAGTCTTCTTCCCATCACTAATACAGCCACCTAGAGCAAGTGATTCTGGGAGCCACATCACTGGTCCCGTGCTCCAAGATCTCTTGTCTTTTCTGTACTTTGAAAATTCGACATTCTTTTAAAACATCCAGCAAGGTCCTCTTTGGCGTCTCTCCTCCACTTAGATATGAGATTCTCCACATTCAAGAATGTGGTTTCAGAACTTAAAGTTAACTATGCTGTTTTGTTGGTTTTAGAAATTACTACTAGGGCTGGAGAGGTGGCTCGGCCATTAAAGGCTAGGCTCAGAACCAAAAATATAAGACATTATTACTAGATGCTGAAACTGTTTTAAACGAACTATGGAATGTAAGGATGGAAAAAGAGTCAGAAAGTTCACATCTCCTTGACAGTGGGTTTGGAACGGAAGGGCGTGGTTTTGCAGTCAGTCTGAGCTGGGTAGAAACCTTCCACGGTGTTGCAGCTGGATGACTTGGGTTCTGCATCTTTAACAGTCATGCTACACAGGTGCAGAACACCTGCAGTGAACGTGTTAGAGGTTTGGTCCCCAGACTCTGTCCTGCTATTGGGAAATGGTAGACATCTAAAGAAACATTGGAACTGAACTGGGGTCTAGACCTCCTTTCTCTTCACTGAGATGAGTGCAAGGGTTAAATCAGGGCCGAGTTTTAATACTAACCATGAGAACTTTTCTTAGGAATAAGAGG